GTTTATCAAAGTGCTTTGCATTTCCTTGGTTACCCATCTTCATTCCTTGTCAGATCTTGCTCTCTGAGAACAAGGACTCTGTTTTACAACCTGCTAAATCCCCACTTAACCCAGTGTACAGAACCATAGCAGGTGTGCAATTAAAAAAAAAATCTGAAATGGATTATAGGAGAAATAATTTCTGAAGGCAGGACTTATGATTAAAGGCAGTCAGAGTCCTTTCCAGTCTTTCTGGTATGTCAAGGGCAGCTTGCATATGGCCCAGCTGCAGGGCCCGGGAGCCCTGATTCCCATGAGCCCATGTTGGCCTGTATTGACCAAGAGCATGTATGGCTTTTATCTTTAGCAGGAAGCACAGTTTTTCAAATGTCGAGATGCAAAGGAAAGCTATCCTTAGGCCCTGCTGGCACAGAGAGCACATGGTATTCGTTCATTCTCACGTTCTAAGATGAACAGGGCAATAGGAAGCACTGGCCAGCACTTTGGCATTGGAAATGTCAATTCCCTCCTTAGTACCTGCGTTTCCATACTGATACAAAGGCAAGAGTAATGTCTGACCTGCCTTCTTTCTAAAAATGTTGTGAGACTAACAGGAAGCTAAGAGTGAAATTCATAAGCTTTGCGACATGTGTGCTTATGGGTTTTTTGGGGGCTATTTGTTTGTTTGGAGTTCTGATTCTTGGTTAAATCCAGGGACAGAGAATGGTCTATTTAGCAAAGGTTCTGGGATTTCAGAGAGAAAAGCAGCCTGAGCACTGGCTCACTGAGTTTCCAGAGGCAGAGGGCGAGGTTGTTTCCATGGCAGAGTGCTATGGTATTGTTTTGTTTTGTTTTTTGAGTTAGAGTCTCACACCATCGCCCAGGCTGCAGTGTAGTAGCATACATGCTTACGGCCACCCCAGCATCGACCTGCTGGGCTTAGGCGATCCTTCCGCCTCAGCCTTCCAAGTAGCTGGAACTACAGGCGCGTGCTACCATGCCTGACTATTTATTTATTTATTTATTTATTCATTCATTCATTCATTTGTTTATTTTACAGATGAGGTCTTGCCAAGTTGCACAGGCTGCTCGCAAACCCATGGGCTCAGGCAATCCCCTCTTCTTGGCCTCCCAAAGTACTGGGATTACAGGCTTGAACCACTGTGCCCAGCCTGTGGTAACGATTTTGCTGGAAGGAGTGACCTGACTAAAGGAAATAAAATAAAATTGTAGAAAGACTCAGATGGGTCTGGCCATAACCATGGGGTCATGGCTTGTTCTGCAGACTGCCCTGAGACACCAAAGGACTTTTGATTTTGTGAGATGCCGTGACAAACCAACATTTTAGGTTAGCTTTTCTAAAACAGATTCAGGCAAAAAAGTAGAAAACAACCAAAATGTCCTTCAGTAGGGGAATGCATAAATGGCTTGTGGTATATTTATAAAATGAATGAGTGAGCTGGGCACGGTGGCTCAAGCCTGCCATCCCAGCACTTTGGGAGGTGGAAGCAAGAGGATTGCCTGAGCCCAGGGATTCGAGACCAGACTGGGCAACTTGATGAGACCTTATCTCTACAATATATCAAAAAATTAGCCAGGCATGATAGCTCATGCCTATAGTTCCGGCTACTTGGAGGGCAGAGGCCAAAGGATTGCCTGAGCCCAGCAGGTCGACGCTTGGGTGGCCATGGGCGTGCCACTGCACTCCAGCCTGGGTGATAGAGTGAGACTCGGACTGAAAAAAAAAAATGAATGAGTGATTACAATGAATAAACTAGGTATTTAAGTACTAACCCAGTTAAATCTTAAAGACATAATAGTGGGTGAGAAGGCAAGTTGTAATAGGAAATGTGCAATACAAAACACTAAAAATACCATTTATTATTTATTATTGTATGCATAAAGGATAAAAATGTAAAACTGTGCATAGAAATAAAGCACAACCACTCTAAGATACTGGCTGTCTCGGAGAAAGGGAAGAGGTAGAATGAGATGGAGGAACTTTTGATTTATCTGTAAGGTTTTTTTAAAAACAACAAATATAGCAATCTGTAAGCAACTATTATATCTAAGTGGTAGGTATTCATTATATTAGTTTCTGTACTTTTTTGTTGGTTTGAAATAGTTCATAGTTTTAAGAATTCAGTTAAAATTCCCCCAAGGAAAGGGCTGGCTAACTGGGAGAATGGTCCTGCATTTCTGCATTTAGTTATCAGTTTTTGACATCCCCACTTCCCAAGCAGCCTGACAAACAGTGCTGAACCACATCTGCCACTTATTACTCACCAAGTCTTCACACCATCTAAAAGCATCAGTTCTCAGCTCAGTCTCCGGGGACTGATAGATCTATCACAGACCTCTCTAGAGGCTTCAAAATGTGCATTGATATATTTCATCATTGTTTATAGCTTTCTACCCCTCCCCCCCATTTTTCTGTGTATCAGTTTTTGCAATACGAGTTAATGAAATTCTCCTTCACATGCATGTTTGACTGGAATCTAAAAAATCACTGACCAGTGACTTGTATCACTGTATTCTCTTCGTTTGTAACTTTGTGGATGTTTTTCTCCTCTCTCCCCAAAAGAACCAGTTAGATAATATGTTTGTGGTGAACTTTAGTGTTTCTAAAAATGTCTCCATATTTAGGGAACAATTTCAGTGGTGGGCTGAGTGAGCCCACACTGACTGGGGGTGAGAGGGATTGTGTACCTTTCTCCCCTCCTCAGTGTTCAGTGACATCATATCATTTGCTGGAAATTAACCACGATAGAAGTATCTATTCCATGGCAGTTGGCAGATGCTACAAATCTTGTGGTGTTTTTTTCCCAGGAGAGCATATGATTAAACATCACCAGCCTACCACAAGGGGGCATGACTGTTATTTGAGCTGTATGGAACAGGTAGCATTTTCCTCGTTTTATATGTCAAAGAAGTCTGGACCCTAGTCCCGTGATTCCAAAGTGACATTGCTGGGGTTCTGTGAGGTTTAACCAAAGAGGCACTGACTTTAGAGTCAGGCAGATCTGAGTTTGAACGTGACAGAGCTACTTTTGAACTGTGAATTGGACAAGTGTCTGATTTACCCCTCAGTTTTCCCACCTATAAAATAAGGACCACAAAATCAATCTTGCAGAGAACTTGGGAGCATTAAAGGAAATGAGTGATATGTACACAAAATTAACAGAGTACAAAAGAGATATGCAGTAGATGTAATTTGCTCTTCTGACTTACAGTTTCAGATCTCTATGTATTATTCCATTTTTCCCCATAACCAAACACACACACACACACACACACACACACACACAATGTTTTTTATTTCAACTCTTCCTAACCAAACACCTTTCACTAAATGATTAATATACTTTTTCTCTAAATATGGGCCCCTGGAATAAGTAAATAGTCTAAGAGTTGTCATTAATGTGTGATTTGGGGGATTCCATTTCTTTCTTACAGTGTTAGAAATGCATGTATTAGGTATCAACTAAGATCATTTTCCAACTGCCTAGAACTTTCTCCACTGACCATTCTGCTGAGCTAAACATCCTGAAGAAGATTGATTCAGGGGCCCATGGGTGCTACAATTCTATCCTCCAAATTGACTGCAGAAGCCTGCAGGGAAATTCTCTTGGCTTTTCATGTTCTGTGCTCTGGGCTTTTTCTGCACACTCTAACTGACCCGGTAGTAGATGGCTGCTTCCAAGCCATTCAGCTAACCTGAAATGGACTTTTCTTTTTAAATTTTAACTAATTTATTTATTGCCTGAGTAATACACTTAGTTATTTTTTTTTAACATTTTAAAAAATACAGAAGAGCATATACAAGGGGAATGTCCTTTTCCAGTCTCCCATTTACCCAGGTGCCTACCACAAAAAAAATTAACTAAAGAAAGAAGGCAGCAAGGAAGAAGAACCAACCTCCTTCTGTTTGTTTGTTATGAGCGCAAAGACTTCTGGAGCTCATCTTAAAAACACAACATGGGTGGGCCAAAGAACTTTTTGAAATCAGGAGCACTGAGGCAAACCCATATGACTTGTCAGTAATTGCCAAGCAAATAGGCAAAGATGTCCCCAGATGATCATGTCACAGAGGAGCTGCTTTTTGTATGCAAGGGCAAACGGTATGGATTGTGCAAATTCCATCTATCAACTAAGGCTAGGTGGGTTGTCATATCTCATGTAGTATGTATCAGGTGTAGAGCTAGGATTTTTAAAAAATTATTTTTGCGGTAAAATATACATACCATAAGTTTACAATTTTAACCATGTTTGCACGTACAGTTCAGTGGCATTGAGTCCATTCACATTGCCATTCACATTGCCATGCAACCATCACCACCATCCGTCTCCAGAAAGTGCTAGGCTTTTCTTGCTCTTCTCACTTAATCCTTACAGTAGCCCTCTGTGTTACTGTTCTGCATACTTTGAGGATGTGTCAGAAAGATGGCTCAAAGTCTCATTCTGAGTAACTGGCAGAGCCTAGAATGGAACCCACGTGTGTTCAGCTCCAAAATATGTGCCCCATATAGTGAAGCCTCACTGGAAGGACCTTTAAAAGGAAGACTTGAGCCGGGCTCGGTGGCTCAGCCTGTAATCCCGTGCCTTTGGGAGGCTGAGGTGAGTGGATTGACTGAGCCCACGGGTTCGAGACCTACCTGGGCAGCGAGACCTCATCTCTGCAATAAATCAAAAAATCAGCCGGGCGTGGTAGCGCGCGCCTGTAATTCCAGCTACTTGGAAGGCTGAGGCGGAAGGATCGCTGGAGCCCAGCAGGTGGAGGCTGCGGTGGCTGGGAGCGGCCACTGCACTCCAGTCTGGGCGACAGAGTGAGACTCCAACTCAAAAAATAAAAATAAAAATAAATAAAATAAAAGGAAGACTTACCTACAGCAATGCTTAGACCTCTTCTCTGTGCAAGAAATAGTACCCAAGAGGCTATAGCGGGCTGTGTCATGAACAGGCGTGCCTGGCTCTCTGTCTTACTATTGATTTTTGCTTCTCTGTTCTCTGCTGTTGCCCAGGGGTGATCCTGCTGCTTCTGGATAAACTGCGGAAGATGAAGTGGGAGCAGATGTGGAGGTTGACCGCAGAGAGGGAGCTCATGGGCATGCTCTCCACATCCTTAGCTGACCAGGTGAGTGGCCAGGTTAGAAGGCATGGCTATTCCCTAGCACCTGATGCTGTTTCTCCAAGAAACTTAAGAGTACATGGGTCTGGATTATTTTTCTACCTATAGTGTGAGTCTGTACTCTTTATACTTATACTGAATACTGTGCATACCAGGGGTCATGTTCAGAAAAAGGATGGCAGAGGTAAATGAAGGGTACAGTACTTGACCTCAACAGAGCAGAATTTTAGGTAGGTGGCAATCTGGTGTGACAAGAGGAGACCCTCTTCATTGGCAGTATGAAATGCCCAGGACCTGCTCTCTGAGAATCCAGAATGTCACAGCCTATTTCCCTACTAAGATTTCATTTGCCTGTCTGGAAAATAAAGTCTACTTTTTTGGGGGATGGGGGAGGGGACAGGGTCTTGCTATGTTGCCCAGGCTGATCCTGAACTCCTGGGCTCAAGTGATCCCCACTCCTCAGCCTCTTGAGTAGTTGGGACTACAGGTAGGAACCACACACTCAGTCTAACTTTTAGTCTAAGTGTTTTTCTTAGATCCAGTACTAGTGACCCTTTACTTAAGAGGAATATCTTTAAATAGAAAGGACAGAGTTCCTGGCTCCAGAAACCACCTTGTTATATAGGCAATCCTAAAAAGTCCTTGAACTCCACCAATCTACTAGCAAACATTTGTAAAATACCTCGTTTCTCATTTTGAAATGTAGGGGACTCGAGTCTTTGACCTAGGATCTAGCTGGATCCCAAGTTTAGATTGGGATCTCCCCGTGGCATTCCTAGCCATCTTGAGGCATGAAGATGATTTCTCTGGGTTTTCTACATTTCATCCTTTCCTTTGTCATCCAGAGAGCCAGCTTACTCTGCATGTTTCTGTTTGATGTTCTATTTTGCCTGGTTCGTCAAATTCCTGCAAAGTTTTCTAATGTAGAGGAAACAAGAAACTCTGCAGGTTACTTTGCTGTTTTTTCAAGCATTATTATTCAGTATTTCCCAAGCAGGCAGAAACTGATTTTTTTTTTCAAACATGAGATATGGTATAATGAATGAGTTTAAGAAAAAAATAATACCCAAGTAGCTGTTTTAAACCTGAGGGGAAAATTGTCCACCGTCCTCATATTTCAAGTCAGGTCACAATGACTTGAGCATGTCCCCAAAAGCTAGCAATAGTATGTCCATGTCCAATGAGGATAGTTTATTCAGCCATCTCCAGCCGTGAAGGCCCATGATTCACCTCCCGGTACCACCTGTCAACAGCTAGTTAATAAGTATGGCCCGGTGCAAGAGCTTGGAGAGGAGCCCAAAAGAGGTAAAAACCTGCCTAGGCAAGTCAGACTCCAATTTTGAAATGGAGAATGTGTGCTCTGGGCACCGTTGCCTGCAGGAATCCAAGGAGCATCCATCACTGAGTCCACCGAAAGCCCCAGGAAGTACTGCTGAAAGGGAGGATCTGTAATTTGTCTCAGCCCCTGCATGAGCAGGGATACTTGTCATCACACAGTTTCCTCTTTGGGACGCTCAGGATGGATAACACAGGGCTCCAGCATAGGATGGACTAGAGGGGAAGGAATGAGATTTCATGTATTGTATGCTGGCTAGGGCAGTGAAGATGCTTCCTGCCGGCCCCACAAGACATGGCTAGATAGTGCTCTGTGAGACCAACAGGACCCTTGGGCTTCAAGTCAGCCTGGGGCATTCTTCCATCTCTATCCAAGAGTTCCTAGAAATAAAAAGCAGAAGAAATGCCCCACAGTGCGAGCTAACCTGTGTTCAGAGCATGAGGCCCAAGAGAATAGAGGGGATACAGTGCCTTAAGAGCCAAAACTGGGAGCTTGACCCAGCTGACTGTCTTCACTGTGTCTTTGACTTTTGTTCCCCAGGATATTTTTAATGCTGTCATCAAACAAAACCCCTTCCTCGTGTACCAGCTCCCCTGCTTCTGGAATGTGCAGCTGTCAGACCATACCCGCTCCGAGCAGTGCTACAGAGATGTGTCTGATCTAAAGGTAAGGTCAAGACAGGCTGTGCTGGGATGCGGGGCTGGAGGGTGCATCGTGAAAAGTAGGTGAGGTCCTGCAGTTGGTAGAGAGAAGCTGGGTTGGGTAACCTCTCAGGGGCATGGATGGCCAGGCGCTTCATGTTCAATGTGGTGGGAGAGATAAGGACACAGGAGAGCAGGAAGGCTATGCTTTTCTTCTTTGTTAGGTTTCTTTTTTTCACCCTTGTTTTGGCTTTCTGGAAAGCTTAAAGCCTCCTGGCATAAGAACCACCTTGTGTGGTTATTCTTCTTGCCATCTGCTGCCGGCTGTTTTGGTTCACATCAGCTCCCCAAATCCGTTCATTTAATTCTAGCAAAAGCATTGATTGAGGGCCTGATCTGTGCCAGGTGCTGTGGATGTGGATGTGGATGTGAATAACTCACTTTCTGCTTTCAAGTCATTCACGGCTTAGTGGATGAGAGAGACATGTAAGAAAATAAGTGTAAAAGGTAAAATAACAGGTGCTGTGATAGGTGTGGGAGAAGGATGCAAGCATAAATGCCTCATTCTCCCTCACAAAGAAGGGAGTGACAGAAAAAGCCTTCATCATCACTCTCCAGGTACCAAACACAGTGGTTGGACCTGGTTGTGGAAAGATGACGACAGAGTATATCAGTTATCTACTGCCATAGATAATGCTGCATAGCAAACTATTCAACTGGTGACCTAAGTCAACACCCATTTATTGAGTTGATGAGTCTCCAGGCTGGCTGAATGTTTCTCTGATTTTTACTGACTTAACCAAGAGTCTGTGGTCAGCTTCAGATCAGATGACTGGTGGCTGGGGCAACTCGGCTGTCCACTGTCCTCTAGCGTGTCTTCTGTCCCTTCATTGGTCAGCCTGGTATATTTTCATGGCAAGACAGAGGAAGCCATAATGCATAGGCGGAAACCTTGAGTCATTATTGCTAATGTCCCATTGGCCAAAGTAGTCCTGTGACTGAGCCCAGAGCTAAGGAGTGTGTCAGAATTCCCTACACACAGTGGGAGGAGTGAAGGATTGATCACAGCTATGAAGCAACCGAACAAAGATTTGAACACAGACCTGTCTGCTACCAAGTGTGTTTGCCTCTCAGGTTGTATCAAAGAGGGAGTGCGTACAGGCATCCGTGTGACACTACATTACCAATAACTGCAAGTTTTCAAAAGGAAAAATGATCCCAAAGCTTGCCTTTAATAAATTAATATTTTCCAGTTGGCTTAGGTCCGTGCTTGTCACAAGTGACGAATATTATCTTCTGCTTTATGTTTGTTTCATATCATAAGCATTTTCTGGGTTAGCCATGTGGTGTTAATGAACATCATACTATTGTAGTTATACAATAGTCCATTACTTACCCATTCCCTTAACCTTAATTGTTTTCACAATTTTCACAAATATATATTATGTCAAGATGAACAGCTTTGTCCATAAAGCGCTTTCATTTTTTTCAAAATATTTTTGTAATTTACCTTTCTAGAAACCATAGTGCTAAAAAGCACTTTTTTTTACTGTACTTGAAATTCATTGCAAATATTAGAAAATATTTAAAACAAGTGCCTGCATTATTCATTTTTCAGTCAACATTTATGCAGTTCTTTCTATCTATCATGTACTTGTTAGATGAAAGAAAATAGATGAAACAGGAATATTTCCAAGAATAGAAGTTCCGAGAGGAGGAAAAGAAAACCAGCCCTGCAAAGAATACATTAAAATGCTATATAAAAAGCGTTCTAAGTGCTTTGAAAGTATCGTTGATTAGTCCTAAAGTAAGTAAAGAAAGCAGAGGCCAGAAACAATGGTAGAGTGTAAATCCAGAAGGAAGAGCAAAGAATAGCTGGCTGTGGCCTCTGCCCCTGGGGGTGATTTGTGAATTACTGGGGACAGAGAGCCTGGTTTAAAAATAAGTGTGATTTTATAAGACATCATTCAGGCTCTGTTTCTAATTCCAGGTGCCTAAAACTGTTGAAACCCTCCTAACACCCTTGAATTTTCCTGAATAGGAGGGATGCCTTTTGTTATTTATTTGAGCCCCTTAGGATCACACTTGAGTTTATGCTAATACAATGACTTAGGGTAGGGCCGTAGATAGACTCAGGATGGAGCTGGTCACTAGAAGGACCAAGTGATGAAATGGACAGAACTTTCAAACTCAGAAAGTTCCACTGACCTCTGGGAAGAGTGTTCTAGAGATCTAGCTCTATAAAATCTCCGGAACAAGATTTCAAGAGCTACTGGATTGATGAATTCTATTGGTGCTAGAGGGTAGGAAGCTCTGCCCTGCCCCCTCATAGTACTTTGTTCTGGCCATCTCTTTTCTCTTACTGTCCCTGAGTTTTGTCCTTTATAATAAAGCAATAAACATAAGTAAAGTGTTTCCTGGAATTCCATGAGCCATTATAGCAAATTATTGAAGCCGACAAGGAAGTCATGGGACCCTTGCTTTACAACTGGTTACTCAGAAGTACCTGAGGTCTGCACATGCAACTGGCATCTGAAGTGGGACAGTATTTGTGGGACTGAGCCCTTAACCTGTGGGGTCTGATGTCTTCTTCAGGGAGGTGGTATCAGTATTGAATTAAATTGTAGTACATCCAGCTAGTGTTGGAGAACTGCTCAATGTAGGAAAAAAACCCTCATATCTAGCATTAGAAGTGCTCTGTGTGAGAGTGTAAGGACGTTTTTCTCAGTAGGTGACTGTATAATTTATTGTTCAAAAGAGGGAATGCTATCCTAAGTTACACCAAAACAATAGACCTAAACACATAGAATCATGTTGAAATACTATGACTAGGACCTTGGGCCAACAGGAAGAAAAGCAATTAGAAGACCCTCTTGACATAAAGTCAAGATCCATGAAGAGTAGTGTCCTCAGTAGATAAACAGTTAATAAAACCCATAGTGTAGAAGAAAACAGCAGAGATTGTTATCTATTTTACCCTTGACTTTAAGCAGAACGAGGGGAAAATGTTTCCCTTGAGAATTTCTAATTTTAAACCTATGCTCATATTATTTGGGGAGCTGAAATTACATGTGTAGGCACAAAAATAGAAAAAAAAATGGAAATTTGCCAGGCACCTGGGAGATGCTAGCACAAATCTGATCTGGAACAATATACTCAAAAAGAAGGCTTTAGAATGTTTTAGGGGAGGTTTCAAGGAAAGTGAGCATTGCACTAACAAGTCACTAAACACACACGGAAATAAATAAGTTGCCCTGAGAAAGGGCAAAAACTAAAGACGATAGAATGAGATCTCAAAGATTGCAGGTATTGAAATCATAGATATAAAACTTAAGTACTTTTATTATGTGTAGAAATAAAAAAGAATATTGAAGTAGAATAGGAGAACAGTAGATTCTCAAAAATGGATAGCCCTATTTGGATTAGTGTTTTTAGAAGTGAAAAATATAATTATTGAAATTAGAAATCAAATGAATGTGTTAAGCAGTAGATTAAAACCAGCTGAAGAGAGAATTGGTTAACTGGAAGAGATATAAGAAGTTACCCAAAATGCAACACACAATTAAAAAGAGATGAAAAAGCTGAGAGAGAATTAAAGAAATTGGGGCATGTCTAATCAGAAAGAGGTAATAGAGAAAATTGGAAATGAGCATATTTTCAATGTTTCAAGGGACTATAACAAGTTGTATACCTAACAAAATAATCTTTCATGTATGATAGAGAAAAAAATGAAGATCATTTACTGCAAACATACCTATGCAAAGAAATTTATAAAGTATTATAAAACTAAATAATAGAGAGATCTTCTCTAAAAGAAAATGACTTGTGCTCTAGAATAGGGCATTGGATATGTGCATATTCAGGGAGGTAAAGGGAGACAATGGTTTTTCAAGGAAAACTGAGGATTTCATAATTGTCTTGAGATCATTATCTTTGGCTACAAAGATCAGTTACAAACGTGACACCAGTCTGGAGTTGAATAGGCAGTTGCTGGGCAAATGTCCTTGTAAAAGTATTTGTGTAATGTTGTGGTAGCATCTGTGCAAGGGTCTTTGCAGAGTCTTTTGTGATAGTTTTTGTAATCCAGCATTTTTATGTGAAATGCCTCTCTTTATTACCTTCCCTGGTTCTGTTTGTCAGGGTTTTTTTTAAGTGACTTCATTTTATTTATGACAACATTCACCTTTCCCCCTTTTGATCATGATCTTTCTGCAAAAACATCACAGATCACCAATTCTGTAGTTAGGTTTTGATGTCTCTTGGTGTCTAGAGGTACCTCTCCTGGGTTGATGGTCTTATCCCGTGTTGGAGAAGTGAATGTGGCTAGGAAAAGCCATATTTGAGCAGTAATGGAGGTTTGAAGGGAAAAGTTCTCATGCTGAGTTCAATTGGTCTGTTCCATAGGCACGTTATCATTTTAAAGTGCTGGGCCAGCATTTTTCTGTCAGGAGTTGTACTTCTGCAAAAATTTGGCTAGTAACAGATACAAAATCTTAAAGAAGAAGATACAAAGTAAAAATCATAGTAATGTGACAAAGTAAAAATCATAGTAATATGTGCATAAGGATTTTGAGCTATAAACCTAGGCTTAAAGGCAGCCAATTGAATAAATAAAATGGTCATTATCTTGCTAGGTGGAAAAATGTAGGCATTAAGAGGGATAAGTGTATCATTATGATACTCTTGGGAAATGCTTTCTACAGCATGAAAGCATTAGCTTATCATCCTGGTTTGCAGTTTGAATGTTTCTGGTTATGGCAGCAGGCAGTTTGGGGAACTTTTCCTGTGGCCTATGCATCAAACACAAGACTTGTTTCTCAAAATTCATCTAGTTTCAGTTTTTAGGACTTTCAAAAGAGCAGTTCTCATTTTTAGTAATTTCATGGAAGAAAATTGGATTGGAAGACTCTGGAAGAGTTCAGGATCTTATCTAGTCTATAGGTAGATAACAAGAACTTGAAAGCAACACAGAGGTGTGTTGTATCTTTTCTTTAGAAACATAACTTGTTCTTCCTACAGTGGTCA